GCCGTTGGGTCACAGGGCAGATGTGAATTTCAAGGAAGGCTAGGCCTTTTGCCATATCATATCCTTTGGTGGGATTGTCGATGAAGCTTGACCAATGCGAGGTCGAAACTGCAGTCCATTTCGACCGGGATGAGAACAACTTTTTCGAAAGCAAGGCAATGTGAAATTTAATGGAAACGTCAGCTCAACTCATGTCTTTGTGGGAAAATTCTACCACCAGTCCTACCTTACCTGAATCTAAATCGGGTGAATACATCTCATATTACATTCAATTTCACCTACTATTGCTTCCCCAAAGGCATTTTTATCGGGTCTCAACCGGAGAGTTGACCTTGTCTGAGTCGCAGCAACACTCAAAGCGGGACTCGAACCCGTGATTTCGTAGTGCAGCGTAGTCTCTGAAAACTGTTCATTTCTCAAATAGGTGACGATGTCGATTGCACGTGAACACATTTGCTTAATTGGCAATCCCACTATAGCACTGCGAGTTGGGGAGAGCCTGGCTTGATTCTGCGACCAATTGCCACGCGTGGCTATGAAGTGGAGTGGAGTGGCAACCTCGACGTGGTACTCACGACCCAATATCGAACCCCACTGCTTGCGCTGATGAGACCCAGATGAGGTGGAATTCGCGGTCCAGCCCCGATAGGATAGCTTTCTGGGAGGCGATCGTCAGTAAAATTCAACAGCGTTGTGAGGCATAATCATGTGATTGTGGGAAAACTCAAACCTCCGGCCTAGGTTGAACAAACTATACTCCAAGAATTGTTAATTGTCTCGAAGACAGCTTAGATCAAAGGTAAGAAAGGTAGCAGGTTGTAATCTTTATTTTATTTTGATTGTCTTAAAAAGGCAGTTGTGGGAAATTAAAACAATGTAATGCCTTATTTCTCAAAAACTTCGCATCCAATCAACTCATTCAATGGAGGTTGCCTGAACGTAAAACAGTCTGCGAATGTTGGTGAGCCCCAAAATCGGAAATGGCTAAGCAGACAAATGGCTGACATAGAGCAAATATAAATAGATTTAAAGGCAAACAATCTGCAGGATACAGCTATTGTACCATGTACTCTACTGAAAGTAACATATCAGCCAGATTCTGAGATAGGTGAATAGATTGCAGCAAATCGCGCGGGAGCTACTTGCGACTATTAGAGAGTAATACAAAGAAAGTGAGAGAGAATGGGGGACATAATGCAACGCCAAAGAGAAGAGAAGAAATGATTAGCCTAGAATCTGGTTAGAGCTGCCACATTTGCACAGATCATAAGACTTTCATACAGACGACGCCCATGCAAACGAATAGGATTACATGTGTGAACATTGAAGGATGAGATATAAAAGTAAATAGTGTAAAGAATAACAGTTACATTCACTTCATGCGTCATACTTTGCCACTTCTCTTATCCGCAAATATGTATGCAAAATACGCAATGAAAAAGTGAGGCCTACCTATTTCATTGTGGAAA